CTGATTCAAACATTCATATGTGTTTACTAATCCTATAAATAATGGTTGGCTCACTCTTGTTAAGAAGTTCAGAACTACATGCAGTACAAAATCTAGTTTCAGGTTGAGCTTTTTTTTTTTTACAGTAGGATATTACCATATATTATCTGCTTTTACCCCTCTTCTTCCCCCCTTTATTCTGAGTTCTGTGATTTCCAGACTTGAATTGTTGTTGAATCTCCAGAATCGTTGTTTTAATTGAAATACATGTTCAGCTCTGAGGGTCAGTGGTGTAATGATATGATGTGAGAATTTTATGTGGATGTTTGTGTATTAAAATTACAAAGCTAAAACCTCTATTTTTCTTGCTTTTGGGATGGGACTTTGTATGCATATAGCCTGCTCTGAAGTGAATTGTAGCAAAACACAAGCTTTGAAAGACAATTAAATAGTTCAGTGTTGAGGGTTTGGGGGAATATTATGAAAGCTTTTGGAATTGCAAATTTGGAGGCTATCTGGGTAGTAATAATGGACTTGAGAAGTTCATGTGTTGAAAGTAAGTGGTGTTTTCATAGTCTGTGCAAATCAGATAATGTTCTTGTTTTAAGTGGACAGTAATGTAATCAGTTTCATAATGCTCAGTGCAGAGCTTAGTTAATATTTTTTAATATTTTGTTTATAGAAACAGGATGCCTTCTAAGCTTCATCACATTTATTCTTATTGAGCATTTAAATTGTTGAGGGATAATTTAGCTTTGCTGGATTTTAAAAAGAGAAACCTCTAGTACTGTACTCCACATGTTGGTTTTGCAATCCCTATGTATGCAGATAAAGTTACTTCTGTTCCACTTAGCACAATTTGAAATTATCAGCAAGTTAAGTCTGTTCAACTGCTTATCTACAGAGAGGCATGTAGTACTCCAATTAAGTTTGTGGATAAATGCAGATTTGTGTTTGCAGGCATCAAGATGACAGAAGCTTAATACTGTAAAAAGGCTAATCAACACTGAATATGTTTAGTGTCAGTAAATATTTATAGTGAAAACATTGCCTATGGTTTTGTGCCTTGGCATTCCAACTTCTGATTTTTAGTGAGTAAAAATGTGGTGTGATATCCTTTTCATAAACCTACTATAAAATTAGTTTTCTATAAAATGGATTTTATTATCGTGTTGCTGTTTTCTTGTGAGGACAGCTTAGGAGTTACATTTTGTAAGTTAGTGAAAAATCTGGTATACTTAGAGTTTTTAAGGCAGAGAATGAGGAAGGGAAGGAGACAAGATAGAGACAGGCAGTATGGAGAGTAATTTCTTCTGATTCTAATTTATTTTTTTTAATGAGGGCTTCTTCAAACAGGGGTTGCTAATAAGCTTTGGGAAACAGTGTGATCATTTAGTGTGTTCCTGTATTCATTAGGCAATAACTACAATTTAACTGGAAAATTAATGGAACCTCAGGATACATATTTTATATAAAGCATATGAATATATAGTTTTTAAAAATTTCATTAGATCTCCAGAAGTTAGATGCTGATGTGCTCTCTTTTAGAAATGTATTCTGGAAAATGGTGTATAAAAATTGAAAACCAAGAGGTATATCTTAAACTGAGCTTCTACTGATATAATATTTTATGAAGAATACAACCAAGTGAAATGAAACAATAGAGGTACAAGGAACAGTGATTATTATTTTTTATTGTATTTTGACTTAAAGGGAAGAAGAATATAACTGTAACTGCAGTTCTGCATCAGTCTTAATGTAAAAAAGATGGTGCTGAAGTGAAATTTTGTTTTCTGGGGGGAAATAAATGGATATAGTTAAGGATTTTGTTTGTTTGTTGAAAATGTCATGGCTTGTCACGCTAACAAATGTGATTTTGTTCCTGGCAGACTGTAGACCTGGTCAAGAAAAAGCAAAATTCCCTGAAAACTACTGCAACATAAATACAATATACTTCAGTTTAGTGTCTAACTTTGCATGAAATAAGCACTGCCTGTTAGCCTCTGTTTGATCCTGTGAGAGTGTGAGGCTAATGTCTGGCCAGTGTTTTGGAAGCAGCAGGTAGTCAGGAGCAAGCTGCTCTAGGGGTCCATATTTCTGTAGCCTAGCAGTTACTTACACACAGATGGAGACCTTATGAACTTTGACAGAGGTCACGCTAAATTGCAAGTCTAAAACTTCTAGACTTCTGAAGGATTACACTGGTACTTTTTTTTTTAAAAAAAACCCCCATATGATTTGGAACATCACTAAAGGTATCAACTTAGTCTTGAGAAGCAGATCAACCATGCAGTCATTGCTCACATAATGATCACAGGGACTGATAAAGATAGCCTTTCTTGATACTTTAAAGGGAAACTTGTGTATTAAATTATTAGTTTGTGTATGTAAAATATATGTCATATTGCTTCCCAAGAACCTAGGCTTGTCTGTTTAACTTATTAGAGGAATTTTGAAGTTTAAAACATTACAGAAGTCTCTGGTTTTTTGGTGCACGCGAGTTGGAAATAATTAAAAATACTCATAGTACTTTTTTGATTTTAGGTCTTTTTGGGCAGTCAGTTGAGACAACAAGCTCTGTCATCTGTCATCAGCCATCGTCTCACCAGGGATCTTATAGCAGTTAAGGAAAGAAAAAATGTGAGATGATCTGGTTACACATTGTAGCATGTTTAAATCCTGGATTCAAAGTTGGGCAGTGTTGAAAAGCTCCTTATTGTCTTTGAATTATAGTCATGAATCTGTGCTTAATGGATAAAGTCTCTCTGATATTTCAACTTACTATTCAAATCGGAAATTTTGGGGGCAATTTTAGCAGCCAAAGCCAGACGTTCTATGTTTCTGAGTTACAGTCATTTAGCATAAGATTTTTAATTTTTTTTTTTGCTTAGTGGAGTTGCAGTGTGAGTTTCATTCAGTGTTTATGAAATCAGGGTCTGTGAATGATTATTTATGTTGCAAGCAACAAAAGGAGGCTGATCTTTTAATCAAATGGACAAATTTTTATCATGTCATCATTGAACTAGTTCTGTAATGTGCTACTTAATGGCTCATGAACTAGTCTCTAAAGCTGTGACTTCATGATTCAATGAGACTGACGCAGTGTGTTGAAAGTGGTTTCAGTGATGGCCACACATAGAGCTTGAAAATTCACACCAGCAGACTAGTAGGGGAAAAAAAGCCTTGAAACTGTTTAAGCTGGTCTGCATATAAAATAACAAGAATGTTGTTCATGCTTCTAAACTGGAAAAACACAAGAAAAAGAAGTAGAAGGGCAAAAGAATTTCCTTCTGTAGCCATGGCACTTTGCATTTGCTGTATTGCTATTATCTTTGCTTTGGTGAGATCTTGATAAAGGAAAAAAATCCAAATAACTTAATTTATAGTTGAAATACTTGAGTTTACAATGAATTATTATTCAGTGTTATTTAAAATTAAAGGTTTTTGAAAAAAAGTACAAATAACTTTGAGTCATGTCATCATTAATCATAATCATGTCATCGCAATCATAATAACTTGTAAATAAGCATATCTAAAGTTGAAGTTCAGAATTTTGTGGTTTACAAGAGATCTGAATGTGTAGACAGATTTTTACAAAATAAACCATTCTGTGATGTGCTCTGCGTTTTCTACTTCATGGTGTGCAGCTAAAGCCAAAGTTCATATGACCTGGCAAACACAATGTGATTTGGGGTTACCTGTTCCTCTGACACTAAGAGGAAAGAATGTGAATTACTTTGTATTTCCTGAGGGATGAGAACGTGCACAGCTGAGGTTGGATAACCTCTTTCCCATAGCAACTTCCTCATTTATCCATACCTGGAATAGATCAACACCTGCAGCCACCCATGCGATGCTCCTGAACTGCATGTCTATTTCAGCTTCCCTTAAGAAATATTAATGTATATGAGCCAGTGTTATTCTGTGTAATCATACTGGGATTGAACTCTCATGGCTCTTCAGATTTTCTGTTCAGTCTCTTTCTAAAATTGAGAAGAAAGTGAGATAAAGAGAGTGGTTTTCTTAGCTTAAACTTTTCTTAGCTTAAACTTTCCCTTCCCGTGTGCTACTCTCTGAAGAGAAAGTATCTTCTTTTTGAAAATTATTTGCAGTTAGGAGAAGGCAATTTAAATGATCTAGGGATTTTTTTTTCAGGTTTTTTTTTTTTGCCCCACCTTTCCTCTCCAAACTCCTATAAAGACTTCCTTGTATTTAGTATTACAAGGAAATAACTTTTAATGACCATCATATTCAGGCTGAGAAGTGGAATGAAAAGAGATGAAGAAATTCAGAAAAAATAAAGCAATATAGTATCAAAGAAATTAAAGGGCAAAACTGGCTATAAAGGCTCTATAATAAATAATTTTTAAACTAAAGAAATAATTTTTTTGGAGGGGCAAATGCCTAACAGGGTCATGGAGCAGTGCTAAAGGGGAACCAGGGCATTCAATAAAGGAATTGACCAGGCAGGGTTGGATAAAGGTTCTTATGGAGGAAGCAATGAGTTTCTTTGTTCCACAGGAGTCTCTGAGTCTCTTATGAGTTACAAATTATACAGATGTTGTAAAATTGTATGTTAAGTGGCAACTTAACTTTTTACTGTGTTTCATTATTATAATTGGGGTGTAGCATGGTGCATATCCTCCATACAGGGGTCATTGGAATTGAGTTAATATTTACTGTCATTAGCCATGAAATGGCTAATCTGTCATTTCAAACAGATGGTTGTGGTCTTGCCTATATCTTCTAGAACTGAGCTAAAAGTCTCTTGGTTGTGCTTACTGTCCTTGATTTTACTAGGTGTTTGAATTAGGCTTCATGAGGTGAAAATTTAGATTGTTTACTTTGATTAAACCGAGTGTTTAAGAGGGGTGTCTTGAGGCAGGAGTGAAACAAAACTGATAAATCTACATTAATTACATCAGTACTATGGTATCAAAATTGTGAACAAGTATTTATTCCATAATAAGAGTTCATATTTTTATAAATTGTTTGTGTATTGATTTGCTTTTTGTTTTCAGGTGTGGCTCACAATATTTCTTTACTGCGAGAAGTGATCATCCATCCACGCTTTGTTCAAGGAGACATCAGCACTAAATTCCTTCCTGAAGTCTATCCTGATGGTTTTAAAGGTTTGTTCTATTTGGAAATGTTTCTTTTTTTCCTGAGCAGTGTTGTTTCTGATTATTACTCCATTATATTTTTAGACTGATAATGTTCCCAAATCAGTCGTTACTTTTTCCTCAAATATATCTATGCATACACATAGTTTTTAAATAGTTTTTAAATAATGCATAACATAGTTTTTAAATAATGCATAACATAGGTGAAATAGTTAATGTCTTTATTTTCAAGAAGGCAGAATACATACTCCTAGTAAGTGAAATACACCCACAGTCAAGAAAAACAATTTGTATGTGATAAGAAATATGTAAAATAAACATGAATTCAATTCTGCCATGCTTTTGTGCTTCGTTACAGACAGTGCTTCTGCTTTACCTAACTATAGTCAGGTAAAGTTTCTTTTTACTCAACACTGTTGCTACTTCATTGAGTTTGTGCAGCATCTTCAGAATTGCCTTTTGGCACTCGTTGTTTTCACTGTAGTATTGTCTGGAGGATCTGGCATTTTTTCAGAGTATTTCAGTAATCTGGTCTCATTGCTCATTACACATAGTAATGGGCATCACCTTGAAATTATGAACTTGTACACTAGTTAACGTAAACACAGATGCAAATGTTTCTTTACAACATCCTAAACTACTCAGTTTCAAAAATGTTTAACAACTGTTGGTATAAAAATAAGTAAACAAATAGACTGGCTTCCTTTCACAAGGATCAAATTTTAAAAGCTTGTCTTCTCTCGTAGCCACTCTGCTCTAGATGTTTTCTTGACCTATGTGGTCAAAGACTCAGTCCTTCCATACGGATCTCTCACTTCTGCTGGCATTCATCAGGCAGAATATCTTCCTTATTTAAAAAAAAAAAAAAGACAATGTTTATAGTTCATAATTTATGGGTCCTTTATGAATCCCATGGAGATTCTTTTTCGTCCATTCATCATTAATCCAATGTGGCAGAACCCTCATCTGACTTTGGAGACAGCACTGCCAGATTGGCAGTCACTGGACATGACTGGCACATTGCCAAATTCTAGTCTCATTAAGAAGCAGAACAGATTTTTCTTACCTCAGGACTGTGAGTTCGTGGATGACTAATCTTTGCACCAGAACTACTTTATATCATGATATAATGGGCAACTCCATGTGTAATACAGTCCTACATGTGGGATTACTGTGTCCAGCTTGTTATTGGCTCCTGACTGAGACCACAGCAACAGGCCTTAGTCACCTTGAGTGGCAGTAAGCTTGTGATGGTTCAAGCTGAAAAGTTCCTTTGTTATCTTTGCTAAGGTGTACTTAACTAATCTTGGGGCAACTCAGCTGGCTTCCATCCAGCGTAGACTCAAGGGTACTCTGATCACCTGCTCTGAAGGCACAGTGCTGCTGTAGCTGATCTGTCTCCCTTCTCTGACACATCAGTACAGAATCTCATGTTCTGGGACTCTTCAGTCCTTTTCCTTAGCAGATTCAGTTCTTTAAACCACCATAAAAACTGCATCATTTTTTACTGTTGCTGCTTTTGCTGGGGTAGTTTTTTTGTGACTTACTGGGTTGATTTATCTCGTGAAGGAATCTGGTTAACTTCAGTGGATGCGCAAAGTCGGTGGCAAGCTAGGAATGGGGAGAGGGGAATAGAGGACAAAGGCAAGGATGCAGGTGTTGGATAGGTCCATACTGCGTTATGAGGGGGCAGCCTCACCTGACACTCAACTAGGAACAATAAAAACATAAGCCAAACAGTAGTATTGTATTAACAGATTCTTAAAGATAAGCTTTTGCTCTAGACACCAGAAGACACAAGAAAAGATATTATGACAGTTAAGAATAGAAACTTATGGATGGCACATGTGAAATGAGTAGACTTTGTTCCTGCTGTTTGAAAAGTCTTGCTCATCTCCTTCAGTGTATCAAACATGAGCATACATTAGCCTTCTTAGTGATAAAAAAATGCATGCATTGCATTGTATTTCAAATCAGGAGTACTTAGTCATGAATACTGGTTCAAAGCTCTCCAAAGTAATTGATAGCCCTTTTAATGATGTAGTTTGCAGTGGAGACTTCTGGCTTAAAAAAAAAAAAAAATTGGTCAGTTGAATTCGAGGATATTTTTTCAAGTACGCACTAGAAAATATTTCTAGAAATCCACAGACTCAAATGGGAACTGCTGAAGGCAAGCAAGGGTGCAGATGATGGGTAGAAGCTCAGCAACAGAAGCAAAGGCAAAAATTAACTTACGTTTAAGTTCTCTAGTCACTTCAACTAAGTTTATAAGTACCCAGGGTAAACTTTGGTAGAAGGATTTGAAAATTTAAGTAGCTTCATATATCTTAATGTTGTTTATAAAAGATGATAGCTGTAGAAAAAGATCTGGGATAATCTGAAAAATTAGAGCAATGCATAGGTAGTGTAGATTTGGAAATACTTAGAAATATGTGCTATTGTTATTAGTAGGAATTTATACCAGAAGTGTTTTAAATTTGGAAAACTTAAGAAATAAAATAATTTCAGTAGAGATGTGTGCTATATTAATGCTTGAGCACAATTGGTGTGTTTCTTTTGTAAACCGTACAACTGCCACTGTTGGTCTACACTGATAAGTAATGAATGTCAGCTGTGTTCTCTCTGGTGACTGCACGAAGTACTGGCCCATTTCTTATGTGCATTTTTCTTCAAATATAAATACTAACTTTAGTCTTAAGAGTAAAACAATAAATGCTTTGTTTTCCAGTTTCATTTTCAAGGGTTCCATTATAAATCCTTTATTAGAAGACTTTTAATGTAAGATAAGAAAAATTGAATTATTAGAAGTATCTTGGCTGCTTTTCCATTAACCTGCGATGCCCACTTCAAATTACATCTGGAATGGGAATGTTTAGTAATTTTCATGATTAGAGTTTAACTCTTTCTTCCCTTCCTTAAGTAAACAGTCATTAACAAACCCAGTTTTTTAATTCTAAGTTATTTTAAAACAATAGCCGTGTGAAACAAACCTTGTGCAAAGTATGATTAGTGTGGGAAAGCAGCTGCTTTTGCTGTCTACGTGAGGGTGGATGGCCAGAGGGCCGGCTGGCAGTAGGTTAACTGTAGTGGGTTATTGCTCTGAGCACACATGCCTGTTTTGGGAGGAGTGCAGATCTGAGGGTGAATGCAGCAACACTGATTAGGTCAGGTGACACAAATACATCTGTCCTAGAGTGGCCTCCAAGCACTTTGCTTATGGAAAAAAATGTTTGCCAACCATGCAGGAGTCGGATGCACTGTCCGACAGCTTCCAAACAACCTGGGAATACTGTACTTCCTAACCTTCCTGATGAGAGAGGAACTATACTGTCTATTATCCCTATTTTATGGGTACAGAAAGTATCTCTGTTTTCACGAAGATTCAAGAGGTGTCTTTGACAAAGAACAAATTAAACTCAAGGATCCTTAGTTTAGTACCCCGTTCATCAAATTATTCTTTGTGGTTCAGTCTGTTTTACAGTTAATGTTTTCCTGGATATCTTTTTTAATATTGAGATTTTTTTTTTTATGTTCCACTCTTTCTGGTTATTAAATGATATCTCAAATATAGGGTCAGTCTCTTTGGGAGATGCATCATGTGCAAATGAAAAATGAGGCATTTTCCAAGAGACTATCACAAAAGTTATAGCAAAGTAAGTTAAAAAAAAAAAGTTGTTTACTTTCCCTCTTCTAGCATGTTTACTTCACTTGAGTGGAGAGGAAGAACGGAAATTCTGATGGACATTCCTTTAGGTTAATCCTTTATATTTCCTATACTGAAAGGAATAAAGAGGAAGCACCTCTCTCCTGAAATGGTGTATTGACTCCAGAGACTGTGTATGGGGTGAAGATGTTTAGATACATTGTGTTTGTCATAATTATAAGGATCGGAGGAAACTATTACTTTGCTTAACTCAGCACTTACTAAACCACCTCTGGAGTGCTCTGTCCAGTTTTAACCCCCTCATGCTTGTAAGAAAGATGGCAATAAAAAACAAAAAAGAGTAAGTCTAGTGAAGAGCCATGAAGGTGGTGCTGGGGCTGGAACAGACAATCTGTAAGGAGCATCTGGGACAATCGGTCTTGTTTTGCCTGGAAACAAGAAAGCTTAGGGTGGACCTAATGACAGGACCTCAGAGGAGATTGCTAGGAATATAAAGCTACACTCTTCAGTGAGTAGCACAGCAAGTGTCAGTGGTCGTAAATTGGAGATTTTCAAGACATGACTACACAAACGTCTGAGCAACCTGTTCTGAATTTGCTGTTGAGATTGCTTGGTGGGAAGGGGGACACAGGGTGAATAAACTAAAGGCCTCCCAAGATCCCTTCAACGTCAGTCATTCCATGATTCTCTTATGAGCAAAAGTGCTATTTGGATGAATTGGGACTGCAAATATGACTTTTAAATTTAAGTCAGGAGACTTTTGCTATTATTTGGAGGGGATGAAATGCAGTTTCCCCTGTCTGTGTTTCTGTTAGAAGAGGGAGGATGGTTGCTGTTGAGTCTATGCATTTTCTCTTCACTAGAATCTAATCTTTGTCTTCATTTTATGAAGCTACTGGGTTGTAAAAAAGTTGACTTAACAATTTATTTGATTTCTTTCTGGTAGGTGAGGCCAAAAAACATTTCTTGGTGTGTCACTAATTCCTTTATAATTCAAAATAGTAGAGGTTTTGTTTCTGTATACTGTAGCATCCATCTTAGAAGTGATCATGAGTTCTCTGAGACATACTTCTTCACTATTCTGAATGGTTTGAGATTGCTTACACAGACAGTATTGTCTGTCTTTTACTGTGACCATCTGGGTGGAACAGAGCTCTGCTCAACTTCACAAGAAATTAAACCCTTAATAATATTCAACTTTTTCTGCCTCCACCTACCCCTGGTATACATGCCATCTGTAATGGTCAACTTCAAAATCCATTGGGGAAAAAACTTGAGCCAAAACAGAACCTAGGAATGATACTAAACATTGCCAGCATTGGTATGGATCTGAATTATGCATTACACTTTCCATTTTACCCATTTTGCTTTTAATTTTTAGTCTTCCCAATCAGAAAACAGTCACTCTTCAAGTATTAAGTAACAGACTGGGACACATAACCAGGGCTTGTTTGTTTTGTTTTGTTTTTTCCCTGTAATTGATAGTAGGAAACACATTTCTAGGACAAAATGCAAATGAGACTGTTATGGGAAAAATGACCTTTTATGTAATTTAATTTGAAGTTGGTTATGTAAAGTAATTGCATGAACCTTTTTGACTCAGCTTGGGGGATACTGGGATAATATTGATTTAAGCAATCATAACATCAGGGAAATGAGAGAGAAATACTTTTTTTTCTTGTCTTCCTTCTGACCAGCGTTCTGCTATTTAGTAGTAATAGATGTGTGCAGTCTAGTTTTAAATAATATGAACAACAGTGCTTCCACTCCTTCAGCTGTGACTTGATTTTGTAACCATTAATTCTGTTTTACATTTACCTTATATAATTCAACTCACTGGTGATAGTGATAATGCAGAAGTATATCCTAGGTTAAGTAGAGAGATTTGGGAGGTATCAGTTCGACGTTGTATTGTGGAGATGAAATCTCTGTGTAGCCCAGGAGTCTGCAGTGATGAGTAGGAGAGCGTGATGGTGGAACTTCCCATACTGGAAGCTGGGGAACGTTTACTACTTACTTATTTCATTCCCTACCCAGGGGGCACTTGGACAACTGCTCCAAAGGTAGCTTTGTTACTTTTCAGATCCATCTGTATGGTCAACGTGAAAGGCTGTTTTGTTATATCTTTATTGGTGGTGAATATTAACTTTATACCTCAAGACATCCTGAGATGTGGCTTCTGAAGTAAAATAGTACTTGAAGGGAAACAAAGGTATTACTATCTGGGACATCTGTGTAGTTCTGAATATAGTAATTTAATTGAAAGTTTGACTCTAAAATTGTTTAGAATTCTGCTGAGCATTGCAGCAGAACAAGAGCAGACAGCAAGGGAAATGGGAATGGAGTTTAGAGAGCTAAGGTGTGGTACTGACAGCAGTCTGTCTTTTTTAATAAAAGTAAATTGCCATCCTTAGGAAGCAGCCTTTAATCAAACTTCTGATGTATGCCTCTAAAGTTATGCTAAGGACATTCTGTGGTAGGGTTGTATCTTTATTGCCAAAGACCAAAACCTAATTTTGATGCGTTCCTATTAAAAGTTTATATTATCTCCCCGGAATCCCACATTGGATACTACAGTCATGACTGGTTTTCCACTTGCCACATCTATGCCACAACTGATGTAAACAGTGACAAATAGAGAAAGTGGATGAATATTTTTTCATGTGTGTAATAATGAAGAAATGAATGTAACTCTTGATCAGTTATTAACCTGTTTCAACTGACTGACCTTTGTTCACTGTTTGGAGTTTGATTTTTGTTGAATGTATTAGGAGAAAATAGTTTTTGCGGCACAGCAAGCGCAAAAGCAGTCAGTGATTTTCATCAAAGACGAAGGTCATGCAATAAAACCTTTGAATTGGAATCTTTCTAGTTTTACCTTTTGCCTCTATATGAGTTGATACTAACAGTGTGTGTTGGAGCAGGTGGGAACATGCAGTTTTAGTCACATGGTCTTGTGATGAGTGATAGGCAGGGGGACTGAAAAGCAAAGGCTTTAGGACAGATTCCTCATGTGTCTTTAGCTGAGACATGTAAACAAATCATCAATTTTAGATTCAGTGTTTGGAAAAAGGGATCTCAGATCTTATTCACTATGTGTAAATAATTGGAAAATTGGCACATTTCAGATCCAGATAGTTGATGTTGTTGCATTGTATAATTATATAAGTCTTATATATATATACATATGTGTGTATATATATATATACAAATAGTACAAAAGTTCAACGTTTTTTGAGTTTTGCTGTGCAGTCAGTTTTTCTAATAACTGGCAAAGGAAAGATCCAGTTTGTTTCTCAAGCCAGTTTCCCAACCTTTCAGCATTTGTATTTCTGCATGTGTTTGTTGAAGGGAAGACAGTTTCCATTTTAAGGCAGATAAAAAAATAATAAACACTGAGCAAAGGAAGTTGCAGTAATATTTAGCCAGAATATGTTAATGTGGACTAAATTAAAAAAAGACTGATGTGGATTTGCTGGCTTTTGTTATTTTTAAATTTATATTTTTTGACCTATGATAACTCCTTTGTACTGTTAGCTGGACTGTAAATGAGTGCATTCCCATCACTGTGGCATGACTGCATTGCTGAGGTGCTAAAGTGGGTTCTTTACCTGTCCTTATTTAATATGCCTAGTGAAATGATGGGTTCTGTGCAGAAGACATCCTGCTTTGAAATTGTGGATTTGTTACTAAAAAGCCTATTCCAGTCCTTTTCAGCAGCCTCCATTTTGGGTTTTCTTGAAAATTGTATTAGTCTGATTTTATGCTACTCATATAAATTGTCACTTGTTAGTAACCAGTACTGGGGAATGTGAATTTACATTACATGCCATAATGCTGAGGTGATGGGAGAGTGGAGATGTAGATTGGATCCATGTAACTATTTCTCTACTGCCGGACTGGAAGCAAATGTTTCCCCCTGGGCAGAGTTCCTCTGGGGCATACAGCCTTCTGAAGCTCTTCTCTCATCACTTCATGTGAAATCTGTACTTGCCGTGGATGATGACATTCGCTGTGATATGTATACATAAAGCACTTTTTGAGAGCTGTGTTATAACTGTTGAGCTAAGTCTTTCAGTCTCAGCCTTGATCTTTTGTTACCTTTATTGTGTAATTCCCCACTCTGACTTTGAAACACTCTTGCTTTCACCTCTACAAAATGTCTCTCCAAGAATATAAAGTTTGCCTCTTTTTTTCATGACTACTCCGCTTTGCACTTTTTGTCCTGTTTTGTGTCAGTTTTAGCTTCTTGCCACTGCCTTCTGAACTGAGTACTTTGTTTGTCCTTTTACTCTCTCTCATAGAATCATAGAATGGCTTGGATTTGAAGGAGCCTTAGAGATCGCCTGGTTCCAACTTTCCTGTCACGGGGAGGGACACCCTGCACTAGACCAGGTTGCTAAGAGCTCCATCCAGCCTGGCCTTGAACACTGTCAGGGGTGGGCAGCCGTCTCTCTGGGCAACCTGTTTCAGTGCCTTACAACCCTCACAGTAAAGAATTTTTTCCTGATGTCTAATCTAAACCTACCCTGTTTCAGTTTGAAGCCATTCCCCTTGTCCTGTCACTACATGCTCTTGTAAATAGTCTCTCTCCATCTTTCTGGTGATCACCTTTCAGGTACTGGAAGGCCACAATTAGGTCACCCTGAAGCTTTCACTTTTCCAGGCTGAACAATCCCAATTCTCTCAGCCTTTCCTTATAGGAGTGGTGCTTCATCCCTCTAATCATCTTGGTGACGCTCCTCTGGACTCTCACATCACTCTTGGCCTCCTATTTGCCACCTTTTCATACCAAATGTGTGTTGTGTCATTTCTAACCTAAAGATGGGGAGGACAAAGTTCTGTCACTGTGCTCTTTTAGCCTGTTGAATGGACAGTTGAAGCTCTAATTAACCTTCACTTTCTGGAACAAGACCAGGCTGGGAGGAAACCTGCTTCCAGTCACCCTGGTTGCACCTTTTTGCACAAAGATTTGTTAGGTTGCCTGCCTTCAGGTTTTAGGCTACTTTGAGCCAGTTCCTGCTTATGAAGTGTCAAAGGTGACTTTGACTCCTTGATTACACAAATGACACTAAATGACCCAGGGCTGACAAGTAGCATTATCCACATTTGTTTTTTGGGTTTATAGTGTTGTGTTATACCTTTTGCTTGGAAGATCTGTAGCTTTTGCCAGATAAAGTAATGAGGAAGAATGCTATATATTTTGAGTTCTAATGTACAATTAGATTCTTTACCAGCATGAGGCACAACATGTCAACTAGTGGCATTTCATTAACGGAAACAAGATGCTTGCAGCATCGTTCAGTTTCTTTTCTTTCAGTTTTCAAACTGTTTTTAACAGATATACCAGTGTTAGCAACTGGACTGATCTTTATGAAAGCATGCAGTTTAAACTCTGAAACTCAGAGGGTCTGCTATGCTAAGCCTCATCTTAATTTAGAGGGGAAAAAAAATGTAACTTTCACGTATAAGGACTGAGCAGCGTTTTTACTGGTAGTTGTTACTTTTTGTGTCTGTGTTGGTCTGTGATATCTAATTTTTTTTAAACTACTTTCCAAAAACTAGGACACAAGTTGACAGATCTTGAAAGAAGAGAACTGCTGGCAACAGCAGCATCTTTGTATGTGACTGAACAACTGAGATCACAGAGATTTCTGGGAACTCCAAGGTAAGTTCATTTCTAGGAACTCAGATGTGCTGATGCATTTTGTTATGGCATCTTCTCATGCACAAGAGTAACTGGTGAGAAACTACATGGCTTCTTAATATAGTCTGTTTTTTCTAAATTCAAATGAACTGTGGCTTACATTTCCCTACTCACACGAGTCGTACATGATTATTTTTATTCTATGTATTAGCAAACTAATAGACACAAAAATGTGTTACAAGCCAGTACAGTAATTAATGCACATCAGGAGTTTCATTAATGCAAAATGTTGCTGCATTAGTAACTAACCACAAATTGAGCATCACAAATTTCCCATGTGCCCATTTGAAGCAATCTAAGCACTTTGGGGTAATATGAATATTCAGCTACGGAGCTTTAAAATATTGTGGACTTTCAAGTAATTTGCTACCTTGGTGAAGAACCTTATTAGTTTAGAGTCTAATTCAGAAAACACTTCAACTGGTAAATACTGGAAGAGTTAACACCTTGCTTTAAGTATGGTTTTTTTGGTGCTTTTATTCCCCTGCTACCTCATTTTCTTGAATAGCAGCTCGTAGTAACCTGGGCAGTACTGTTAACTGGACAACCATTGCAGTAGCCCATGTCAAAATACTGATTCACTTCTTTGGGTTTTTGGAATGATATGCTTTTTTTCCTGTAGGGTGTTTCTAGCTTTTATTGTCCTCAGGCCCATCATTGTCGATGCCTTGAGACCTTCTATTAGAATAACTGAATTTGTGAAGCTTGCTTGGGTCATTGATGTTCGAAATGGTTGCATACAGTGAATCTTAACTTCCGCATAACTCTTTCTCCTCACCTCACATTTTGTAATATAGTTACATTTATGTTTGTCTGAGAGGGAAGTCAGAATGCAGGACAGACATTATTCACATTCCATGCCAGTGGTTTGACAGTGTATTCTATTACTGATTTTACAGTGGTCAGGAATAAATCAAACGTGGTTTCAAGAAGTCTTTATTTTTTTTGTACCCACGAAGATAATTAGTACCATATGGTATTAAAAAAAAAAAAAGAAAGAGGCACTTAGGGCAAGCATAATGGCATTGTAATATATAGCATATGTAGAGCTGGGTCATTGCTTGCCTTATGCATCTATAGGGGAAGGTAAAGCATCCTTTTATTTCCTTCCACAAGTTATATCCTCTCTAGTGAATGGCATAGGGAGAAGAACAGACACTCAGAAGCCACTGTTACCTAAATAAAGACAAATCAGGGAAAATGAGGAGGAGCCTTGATTGTAGTTTTTACTGGCCAGCATAAGAAAGTGAAATACTCTGGTACTGCTACACAGAAGTAGTGGATTACTTTGTACTTAGAGTAAGGATAGGAATTGCTGATTTCAGTAGTGATTATTAAACTGCTTTTGCATTCCCTGCTCTGATTTGAGATTTTTTTTCTCTGCCCTGTAAAATGTTTTTATTAGCTGAAAAGAAAAGGGATCAAATTTTTGAGTAGTCTTTTAATGTTTTGTTTCTATTGCAAGTACTTTTTTCAGTACTAGGTGTCTGTATATCTGAATATAAAAGACATATACAACTATTTTAACTGAGATATCAATATGTAAATGAAGTATTGCATTGAGCAGTCGGGCATGGTCATTCTTCTGTTTTTGTGCTGTGTTAGGGAAACAAATACACTCCTGCTTTGAAAAAAACTAGTTCATTTTTGGAGTCCTAGCTAAACTCTGTCACATATATTCTTCCACCATGAGCAGAGAAGGCCACAGAATCTGGCCACATGAAGTCTGTAAAACTAGATTAAGGTCTGATTTTTCAGATTTTAAGTGGTGAAGCTAATAAATCTTTTCAGTATAGAAAAGATCACTTTCTCTTGCCATGATGAGGTGTACTTATGTTCAGCTCAGCTTTCAAAGGATGACTTTTCTATCTGAGGCATATGCAGATCTGGAATGAATCCTTAAAGTCGAGCCTTAAAATCTTCTCCAAGTGGTGACTGAATGTGGTTCTTATTCAATATGTCATGGTTTGAATCCATATATATTGTTAGATCTACTTGCTTAAATCGTAGTAAAGCTGCCTGTTTGAGGCCAAGTAAGGACAAGCTATTGCAAAAACGCTTACTGGTAAGTAACTTCTGAAGAAACCAAACCTGATAATGATACCCTTTTCCAAAAATCATGCAGCTCATTCAGAGGGAAAATCAAAAAAGCAAAGGCAGAATGGGGTCCAAGGATTGTGCAGTGTCTTGGACAGTGTTTTCCATTCCTTAGAGCAGTTAGGGAACTCCCTCTAGAGGGGACTGAGGACTGTGGAGCATACAAGTAACTACAGTACCATCAAGGATCCTTCACCATGTCCTTAACTAACCCAAACTGCATCTGACTTGTTTTTGAAGGTGTTCCATATATGGGTGCTTTTTAAGGAGCAGGAATGTGGCCAGGGAAAAAGCACATCTTTATTGATAGGACTGCAATTTGTTTGAAAAATATTATTAAACAAAAAGTGCAGAGTAGGAACCTGTGCTACTGGCAACAAATCAAAAAGGCTGCTTGTAATCTTGGATGCAGTTCACTATGGCAGAATTGGGCATTTGGAGTCTGTGTGAGTTTTAAATCCATATTGGAGGATGTAAGCGGACTAGACAGACTGCATGCTCCAAAGTTCATCTGTAACATTCTCCAAATGTTTTGGACAAGTACTTTGGTACATTTATCATCACCTTCAGAATTTCAACTCTCTGGCACTATTTATGTTGACAGCATTTTTTTTTTTTAATATATACACTGAAAGCAATTGAGCAATTTTTGTGCAAAAAACTACTGAAGAGTAGTATTTTGAAATCATGCATTATTTCCTCTAAACTTGTCACAGAGACAATTTTCTTCTGAACTTGAGTTATATGCTTACCTTTGATTTTAATTTGTTTTCTTTTCCTTTTTGGGAGCTGTATTTATAATATTCATTCTTTTCAAACTGCAGGGGTATTTTGGATTCTCTTTTTCCCCTATGACTTATTCAGCCCAAAATCAAGGTTGTTATTCTAGTCAAATAGAAGGTACCATGCTTGGAAATTTTCACGGAAGCTTTGGCTTTCACTTTTAGGGTTACTGAGACTATAATGAGATGAAATGCAGCTGAGCCAGATTAAGGAATTGTTGTTGCAGCCTGCTCCTCCCTTGCTCTGTCTTTCCTCCTCTTCCCTGGGTATGCAGGTGTGATTTTGTGTGTAGTTGCTTTCTACTCTGGTTCTACTAAAACGACCCATGTTAGTGTAGCAGCCATTTAATAATAGCTTATGTTGGATCATTCTATCAGAATCAGGTTACTCATGACAAGTAAAGTTATTCTGGAACAGCTACAAGAGTGGGAATATGTAGCAGGAAGGAAGAGGTGAGCAGAGGATGGCTTATAAAAGGAATGCAGAGGTGAGCCTTAGCTCTGTGCCACAGATCGGATTAGCAGCAGCCTCATGAGGAGAATTCTCCTCTATAATCAATGATATTTGATGGGATGTGACTGGAAAATATGTATTTTGCAGTCCCCTGGGTGAATGAATCATCAGCTATAAGGTTCTTGCTGGAACATGCTCTGATCATGAGCAAGGTATTGCCACCTTTGGATCGAACACTCAACTTTCTTCAGCTAGTTTCAGTCAGGCCCAACCCCTGTAGCGACATTCTTCGTTTCAGTATGTTGGCTGGTGTTTGGATTAATGCAGGCCACAAGCTGAAGGCTGATTTGCCTTTCCTGTGTTAGAATAAATGGTGTTATGATTTGGGTGGAGCACCCACAGGTGAGTTTCCACTGTCTGCATTGCTATATATGTGCCCCTGGCCTCACCAACAGTCTCCTAGGACTAATTTGCCAGCCTTTAGCTAGAACAGCTGTTGGAGATCTGTGCATGCTCAGAGTTACAGGAATATAGCCATTTACTTTTGTGATACAATCAAATATGTAGAGCATTTTTTGTTTTGTTTGTTTGCTTGCTTGTTTTTTTTTTTAATTTAAGTGTTGGTTATTTAACCCATTTTCTTGGGAAAAACGTGGTTGTGGGGTGGTTTGGTTTTTTGGGGTTCTTTATGGTTGTGGGGTTTTTTAAAGTATTTTTGAAAGATGATTAGGTAGTGAAAGTGCTTGGTATTTTGTGAACCACATACTAATGTGAATATTTCATTGTGATATCCAGATAATAAGGGCACATATTTCCCACAGGAAATAGCTATGAATGATTAATGATTGTTTCATTGTTCAGCTTTCAGTTATTTTACCTAGGACTTTTTCTACTTACTTCATGGTCCACTTTATTGTGAAACTGGTGCCACCCACAGCTGCTGAACAGATTTACAGCATCTAGTAAAACCCCAAGGTCTTCTAGACAGAACTCAGTCTTGTTTCAAGTGGAAACACATTGTGGCTGAAGTGAATCCAGCTTATTTTACGTCTGTTTGATGTAGTTAGTCTTTGAGACCAAAAATGATGTTGTATAGTTGAATCTTCGTATTTTGGCTTCAGTCTTGTTTTCATTAGTGGGTTGGGAGGGGAATAGGAGAGTGTCTCTCCAGGTGTGGCTACATCATGCTATCTCATGGGTCTACTAATGTGATGTTTATACTTCTAAACCCAATTGCCTACAGCACTTCCTATGCGTTGCTTGTGTTGGCCGCTAAGTGTATTTTCCTAATTTTTCTATGGGTTTTACCCTTTCATCATTTATGACTTGGAAAAAACCAGCAAGTCTGCATACCCATATTGCCTGATACTACATGCAAAAAGATGGTAACACATTGGAAAATGTTTTATGTTGCTAACCAAATAAAATCTAAAGGTTTTTCTTGCTCATGTGTTTAACATAGAAGACTGGTTTAGGGAGTCTTGAGTTAAACTTCTAGCTGTTCTTGTGGGACTTGGGAATCAATTGAATTTGGCCTCAGTTTGTGAAAAGACAAAGTGACCTTAATACTTCACTGCATTATTTAAGTTTTGTAAATATGTGTTTATCAACATGTATAAAGTATTTTG